ATTGAGGGAATGCTAACGAATATTTCCTCCTTGATTCCCCACTAGATGAAACCCCCCAAATTCTATTCCTTCCTTCCTTCCTTCTTCCTTCCCTCCTTCCTTTCCTCTTTCCTCTCCTCCTTCCCTTCCTTCCTCCCTCCTTCCTTCCTTCCTTCCTTCCTTCCTCTTACAAATTTACCTCATCTCCTTGTTCCTTACCACGCTTGAGGTTACCACTTGAGTATTTCTAATAAGTAATTAAATCCCCACACCACGAACCCCAGCTCCCTGGAGTTTCACTGGAAATCTCTCTCAGCCCTCCAGGGGATCACACACTGTTATTTATTGTTTTTGTTTCAAATCATTATTTAATCAAGAACCGGGGAGAGGAAAAAAAAAGGCAACCTCTCACTTACACTTCAGAATTTAATTTTGGCTGAATTCTGAGATCAAGAGGCAGCTTGGACTAATAGGTTACAAAAATACAATCAAGAAAAGAATTCCAATTAAACTGAACACGTCCATTTATGGAGCCTCAAATGGCCCCATGGAGAGAGTCAGCTATAATTTTTTCCCCTTCCTCTCTTTGCCATATGGGGAACTAGAAATTCTCTGGTGAGCACAGAGAGGCAGGGTAAAGCATATAGCTAGAGGGTTCTGGTTATTTCTTCCTTTTAAAAAGCCCTTTTTTATTTCACAAAGACATTAAGTTTATTTTCCTTGCTGTCATTCATCTTCCTTTGTGCACTAATTAGGAAGACAGCAAGAGAATGGATTCGTTGACCTGTTGGGAGTTCTGGGAGGAAGGGGGGAGATGGTAGGAGGAGGGAGGGAGGGAGAGTGGGAGGGGAGGGGAAGAAGAAAAGACATGAGCTAGGTATTGTGAGAACGTGAAAAGCCCATTAGGACAACCCAACGGGCCATGACCTTGGGTAGGGGAGGTGGTTTGACCTTTAGCAGGAGCCTGAAAAAAGAATTCTTGCTCCCTTCTCCCATGTCTACTGGGAGAGCCCCAGCTCATCAGTGTTTCCAAATCTCCATATAGATCCAATTAGACATATTTTCTCCCTGCCCAAATAGGAGAAAATAAGTTCGATGGAATGAATTTTTCATCCAGCTAAGTGCATTCCACTCAGAGTCTCACCCTTCATTCTAAAGTCATCCCCTCCTGGTGATACTTACACAAAAGAAAAAGAAAAAGGAAAGAGGTGTGCGTGTGTGTGTGTGTGTGTGTGTGTGTGTGTGTGTGGTTTTCTTTCATCTGTCTTGACTTAGCAAAAGCAAACATTGACAATGATATGTCATTTCTTTGAGTTTTCTTTCCAGGGCCAGAGATCACTGCTGGGTTGATCTGCAGCAAGGTTTTCAACAAGCATGCATGATTCCAATGACATCAGACACTGTCCCCTTGGGAACATTACATTTCTAAGTGCAGGGACCAGCTTTTCCTCCAGGCTGGGGCCAGGTCTGCTTTGCTCAAGGCTGCCGGTCAGTGTCTGGCAGATAGTAGGTGCTTAGTGCACATTCATAAGAGGACAAGTGCCTGGCCCCCCTCTACCCTGTCAGTGGCTATGGTTATTATCCCAGAACACAGAGGCGGAGACAGAGGCCCACCAGTGGGATGGTGGATGGCCCCAAGGAAGGTTGAGGATTCACAGGTCAGACTTTGGGGGTTCAAATCCTAGTTCCTCCACGGACTCATCATCTTTTACTTGACATGTCTAGGCTGTAGTAACGGAGGTATTTGTGCAAGTTTATCTGGAAGGGTTATCGTACAAGCAAAATGAGATGTTGACACAGGTAAAGCAGCCAGCCTAGCTTCGGGCACATAGTGAGAGCTCAGTAAGCATCAGTTACCTGTGTCACCAAGGGGCTCACAGGCACACATGGCCTGCGCCCAAGTCTATGAACCATCAACTTTCTTTGACTCCTTTCAGTTCACAAAATCCCACAGCACTCCTTTTATGGATCCTCTCTGTCTCTCTGTCTCTGTCTCTCTCTGTTTCGCTGTCAATGTCTCTGTGTCTCTCCTCTCTCTCTTTCTCTGCCCCTCTCTCTGAGGTCTTGTTTCCTACAGTTTCTTGTTGACAAGGGCATGTGGTCCAAGCTAGCGAGATAAAATGAACCAAGCCCTTCTGAGTCCAGCTTTGGTCTTTGACTGACACCCACTCCATAAGGAAAGGACCCGAGCAGACCTCAAGGCTACCAGCTTCCTGGCCCACCCTCCATGCTGGCTCACAGTATATGCTTCCACGGCTCAAACTCTGGTTCCTACCAGCTCCCAGTTGGGTGACCTTTTCCTGTGTCACCTTGGAGAACCTTAATCTTCCCCCCTATAAATTGGGAGTTACGACTACACTTACCTCAAAGAACTGGCATGCATAGCGAGTGAGGAAAAGCCAGCAGCAAGGATTTGATGGTGCCCAGCGTACAGTTGTCTTTTCCCCTCCTTCTATTAACCAGCCATCTCAACCTGATGAGCTCCTGCCCATCCTTCAAATCCCATCTCAAACATTCCCTTATTGGCAAAGCACTCTCAGACAGCAAGTTAATACCGTCCGAGTCTTTCTTATGTGGACCCACTCTGTGTTGTACCTGCTTCCCACTGTCACCCACTGACAGGGGTGAGGGTCAAAATATTCTACAACAGGTATGGAACTTTCCTTCCCTATCCATTGAATCCCCAGCCTGACCCTTCATAAATGTTCAGGAGATGCTGACACACCTGAGTGAATGATCATGATCAACAGATGATTCCGCGCTGTTTTGTCTCGAACACAGAGAGAAAAAAAAATCATCCCACAATCAGGACTCCGAAAACCTTTGCTCTAACTTGGAAGCGTCTTTAGTTGTAAGAGAGACGATGAGAAGAGACCAAGCCGTGGAGCAGACTCAAAAGCCCCTGGGATTGCAGCTGGTATTTGGGATGAAAGAAATTTTTTTTTTAAAAAAAACCCTGATCTGGGCAGCAGGGCCCTGGATTCAGGCCCAGTTTAGCCACTGACTTGTGTGTCTGCAATGACAGCATAATTATTCCTGCTGCCTCTGCTATTACTAAGACGTGTTCTGTTGTCTGCCTTCGTTCCGCCAGTGGCAAACATGACATTTACCAAACGAACACTTATCCCACACCTAGCACACTCTAGAACGTTTTCTCACTCTGTGATAGCATCCCTGTAATAAGAGCGGTTGCACCTGGCTTAGCTAGTTATGTGGAGAACTGGGGTCTTGAATGCTAACGATCACCACACCATGAAGATCCATGGATTTATGTTCCTGGGCTAAACACTGGGCTCAAGAGCATTAAGAAGAGACGGTTGCTCGCTCTATTCATCTTACAGATGAGGAGATGGTATCTGAACGAATCTGACCACAAAATCAGAATCTCTTGTTTCTAACAGCTCTATGTCACCATATGTAAGTCGTATCTCGTCTGTAGGTCTCACTTTTCCTTCTTTGATAATCAGGGCTCTTCAGGCCACTTCGTAGGGACAGAAGAACCTTTGATTCCCACTTCTCTAATGGGGAGACCAAGGGAGTTACAAAAGCATCTCATTCTCCAGCCCTCTGACAGACCAATGAAAGAATCACCTCTCTATATCCCGGTGGAGAAAGCTGAGCTAAAAATCATCAACCTGGACAAGTCAAGATTCAAACAGGCCATACAGGGGACCCCCTTGTTTTAGACCTGAGGAGGAGAGACTTGCAACCTGCAAGTGCTCCTTATTCATGGGCATCTTTACAAAGAAGGGATTAGGGTTGGTGGGGGGAGGAGGAAGAAGAGCTGTGGGGTAGCCCCAGAATGGCAGAGGATGTTGTCAAGACCTGGTGTTCAGTGAGGAAGAGTTTCCCAGAATGCAATGTGGGTAGCTATGGTGTGACTGGAACCTCATTGTTATTCATCAGCGCACCCCCTTTCTTGGCCTCCCCAGAAGGAATCCTGAGCTTTTCCTTGCTCCCATCTCATACCTTGGTAGGAGTGGGGAAAGGAAATGGAGAAAGGGAGGGAGGGGAAGGGAAGCTTCTTGAAGACAAGTTCCCTGTGCAGCTTTGTCAACAAATTCCAGCTTCCTCTTTGTTCCTTTAGACTCTGCCAAAGGCCTTCTTCACCTATGCCCCAACAATCCCGTGTGCAAATTTCAAGTTCATCAAAGAGAAAGCTGAGGCTACGCAACTTGCCCAGAGACACACAAGTCAGGAAGTACCCCCAAACTAGGATTCCAACCCCCCCCAAAACCATCTCTACATCTCTCATTCAACTGTGCGGCTCTCTGGCGTCACATTCCACCCCTCCGAGACCCCTCGTGGTTGACCCAGGATGCCATTCCACGCCAGGTTGCTACATTGCGTTCACTCAGAATTCTCTCTTTGTCACTCCTCCCCACCCCCCAGACACTTTCACCTCCCTGAGCTCTGGCATTTCTGTCCCATCACTGGGAGAGAAGCGTGACGGAAGTGTGCCTCCATTCCCTGACAGCTTGTGTGGGCATGGGAGAAGACACCAGGTCTACAAGCGCTTCGGAGGGAAATGCTCATCATGGAAACCCGAGGTGGTGTCTGTGGGCAAAACCACATTCCAGTTGTTGGCCAATATGGCTGGCCAGCGGCTATGATAGGTCACTTTGTATAATGACCAGAGTGCCTCCCTCATGTCAAAGACCTTCCTCTCTCACTCCCTCCCTTCCCAAAGAATCCTCCTGTGAGATCTCACACACATATTCTTGCTGACGTCCCTGTGGAAACCAGTATTTACTTTCCAACATCCTCCTGAGAAAAGAGCCTGGGTACTTTTTTCGTTTTACCTCCCTCTGACCACGCCTCCCCCCCAAGTGTCCGAGCCAAGTGCTGCCAGAGGCTGGTGAAGGACCGTCTGCTTAACCAGAAATGACATCTCAAGCCAGCAGGAGGCTTTGCCCCAAGCTGAACGAGGCATATAGCATACGCTGCCCTGAGCTTGTGTTTCCCTCGGCCTCCCCCACGCGTCACGGCAAGGCGGGCAGAGGGGCTGTGGTAATACTTACTACACCCCTGGTTGACAGGAAGCTGAGCATCTGGAGGGGCTGGCTGGGCCGGCGGCTGGCCGGGGCCTCTGGGCTGGCCTTACAGAGGGTCTTGGAGCAGCGGCGAGAGTGCCTTCGTCGGGACTTCCGCCCTTCCTCGGGGGACCGTCCTCGGTACCTGGGAGTAAAGGAGAGAGACCTGAGGGTCCTTTGAAGATGAGCATGGCGGAGAGTTGGGTGAGAGGAAAAACACGCCATCTGAAGATGAGGTGTGTGTTGGAGTACGTGTGTCCATGCTCATGTTTTTGTCCTCTGTGTATGTGTGTGTGTGTGTGTGTGTGTGTGTGTAAGCTGAATTGTATGCATGTCCACCCATCCATATATCTATTTACCTCCTCATCCATCCAATCATTTTCTCATCTATCCACCCACTCACTCATCCACCCATCCATCCTTCTACCCAGTCACTTTCCCATCCCATTGATCCATCGATCCATCAATCCATCCATCCATCCACCCATCCATCTACCCTTCTATCCAATCACCCATCTGCCACCCATCCACCTTCCCATCTTCTAGTCCATCCATCCATCAGTCCATTGATCCATCAATCCATCCATTGATCCATTGACTCATCCACCCATGCACTTATCTACCCATCCATCCTTCTACCCAATCACACATCACCCATGCATCCAACTTCCCATCCATCCATCCATCCATCCACCTACCTAGTCACCAATCCATCTATCACCCATTACTCATCTACTCGTATCTCCAATCATTTTCATTCCAGTATACACTTGCCTATCTATCCCACCCTCACTAATCCATTCTTTCATTCATTCACTATCTTACCTACTTACACATCCATTTGCTCACTCAGTCATCCAGCTACCCGTCCTCCTGCCCACCCATTTACCCCTATATCCATTTACCCATCAGTTATTCATTCATTCATTCATTAACAAGTACTTAGGGACAGCTGAGATGAGAAAAGAGGTCTCTTCCTGGATTTGGTTTAAGGTCTCTCATGAGCCTGTGCAATTATGCTATCACTTTGTGTATCTGGCTATATCCACTTACGTTTCCATGTGTTTGTCTGTACATATAACATATATATGACTTTACTGTCTGAAAAATGAAGCTATGCCCTTGAGGGTCACCCAAAACTTTGGGAAAAGAAGTAGCTGACTCCCCCACTCCCAAATGAAAGCAACACAAGCTTGTGAGGTCCAGAACCTGGCTGTCCAGTCTGTAGTGAAAATAAAAACATGTCCGACCTCTCAGAATAGCCACATTTGAGCCCTGCACATCCCCCTAAGTCACAGTAGTAAATCAAACTAACACGGAATGGCTTTGCATGGGCCTGAGAGGCCCTCTGAAGGTGTTTGGCAATCCTGGCCACAACTTGAGGACACAGGCAGGGCAGATGCCACTTCCCACCTCACAGGTGAACGCGCTGAGGCTCAGAGGTGTTCAGGGTTTTGCCTGATGTTTGGAAACATCAGAATGGTTTTATCTTTATTCTGGGGCTTCTAGATCAGTCTACTAGATGTATGGCCCGTGTGCCAGCTCTCCCTTTCCTTCTAGTCCCTCCCCAGTCAAGAACTCAGGTAGAAACCCCAGCAGAACACAAGACAGGAGGAGAAGAGAGTCTGTGATGTTGACAGGTACATTGCTGGGCCCTGCCCAGTCCTCTGGTCCCTGCGAAGGGGGGGGTCCATTCACCTGTGGGTGGAGGGGGAGGCTTAGCAGGAAGCTAGTGTAGGATTGGAGCTTGGGGCAGGAGGCTCAGAGGAGTCAAAGAGGGACTGGGGCTTTGTCCCGAGTTGAATGCTCTTAGAAAGAGGAGAATCTATCACTGGGCAGTGGAACCAGTCTTTAGCTAGAAAGAGAACTAGCCCGAGGCTCAGGCCCCTGAAAGCCATTCATGCTAGCTGGGATGGGAGGATTTGGGGTTTGGATGGAGATCTCATTTGGTCTCAGCTCAGACCTGCACACAGAGGGGTCTTGTTTCTGTCTTGGTCAATCAGGCACAGCTTGGCCTCACATGGTGTGCTGTTCATGGCTGGTGTTCAGCGGGGAGACTGAGGCTCTTGTGATGTGAGATAGGGGCTTCCCTCCCCCTTCCTCCTCTTCTGAGACACATCAGAAGGCCTTCCTCTTCTGGGGCAGCCATGTGTCAGCACAGAGAGGTTGGAGCCAGGAGGAGACCAGCTTTCAACGTCCTCAGAACTTGGTCATTCGTGCTGTGTGGCCTTTCGTTGACAGCTCAGCTTCTAGGTGCGCACAGCATCTCTCAGCGAGAATGCCACATGCACAGCCAAACTCTCTGGACTTCCCACATTAGCTCTGTCACTCAGTTGCTAAGGGACAGTCGAGTGCCTTCAGCCCTCCGTGCCTCAGTTTCCCCCTCCCCGCAATGGGGTTTGACAATACTGTCTCCCTCCAGGTGCTGTGGGAGGGGGAGTCACGCAAGTTGATATGAAAAGTGTCTGAGTGTCGGCTGGTGCCAGGCCACACACAGCCTCCTGCCTGCAGCTCTTCCTAGGCCGGGGAATGGGCAGGAGTGGCAACACTGGCTGGGGGGGGGGCGGAGGGGGGTGTAGTGGTGTCATCATCCTGTTAGCTGGGCTGGGCACTGGGCTGGAGGTGAAGGCATTGATAGCGGTAAAGGCCTACCTGCTCTCACAGCTGAACGAACGAGACTCTGAGCTCTGGGACCTCGAGTGGCAGCGATGGTGGCGGTGGCGGTGAGACTTTCGGGGCCGGCTTCGAGATCTTAGGAGGAAGGGAGGATGAGGAGCGAGTCAGAGAGAGAGAGAGAATATGAAATTGAGATGGTCATCCTGTGACCTTGCTTACCTAAAGGTACACACATCTCTAGTTTTGCAAGCCTCCTGTTGGGGTCTCCAACTGGGGAGCACAGAGGAGGAGAGGAGCTCCTCCTCCCAAGGGGGCAGCAGTAACTCAATGCTGGCTCGACCCAACCCTCCCTCCTCCCCACACACACTACAAACAGGCCAGGTGCAGAGCATGCCCTGGACAGGAAGTCACTCCCACATGTCACCCCAGGCCAATCACATAGCACAAAGCCACCAATCAAAAGCTTGGGCTGAAACAGAGCCCTCCCCTTCATCCCTTTCCCCCCAGTTCTGGCTCTGGTGTATTGGTGAGCCTGATATCCTAATATTTTATCCAAAATAAATAATGGAAATGCATATATATATATGTATATATAACATGTAAAATCTTTTTTTTAAAAGAAGCTCATTTAAAATAAAAGACACCTTTTGGGACAAACAAGACACCTTTTTGCAGAGTAGAGGCTGCCCGTTTGTAACCTCAGACCTGGCAAATGAAAGCCCGGATCTTTAGCATGGCGTCAAAAAGCTTTTCAAAATAAGGCCATGGATAGCCACAATGGCCCACTGCAGTCAGCAGCACCCCTCGTATTGTGGGGGGGGGGGCTTCAGTTACTTCTGAGGAATACAAACAGCCTGGAGGCAGCTGTGGTAATAGGCTGAATGAGGAGGTGGAAGGAAATGTCGAAGTCTGGAAAGTCAGTGGGAGTTAAAGATGATACCGCCAGGGAGCTGCTGGCTCATGCCTGTCATCCTAGCCATGAAGAAGGTTGAGATCTGAAGATTATGGTCCAAAGCCAGCCTAGACAGGAAAGTCCATGAGACTCTTGTCTTCTATTAACCACCAACCCCCCCAGACCCCCAGAAGTAAAGCTCTGACTCAAGTGACATAGCACTAGCCTAAAAACTGAGGGAGAGTACCCAGACCCTGAGTTCAAGCTCCAAGACCAATGCATGTGAGTGCAGGTGCACACACACACACACACACACACACACACACACACACACACACACACGCACACACACACCATAGACAGATGATTCTGTATGGAGGGAACGTCAGGGATATCTCAGGAAGAAAGTACTTAGATTCTTCGGATGCAACATTTCAGGCCTTATTTCTTTCCCTTCAACAGCCTCTTATATCAAGTCTAAATGCTGACCTTGAACTTCAAACTCTTTGAGGAGCTAGTCTCTACCTACAGCTTCTGATTTCACTGTTTCCTGTCTCCTGTTTGGGCCCAGCAGGCTCAAACAATGTCTATCTCCGGGTTCACGCGTTTCTCAGTTCTCTGATGCTGAGGATAAAGCAGGGAGAGAAACCTGGACCCATCGCAGACTTCAAAACCAAGCTGTGCGCTTTCATTTCCTTTGAAGAAGGATTCCTTATAACCCACGGAACTAGTTCTCTTCACATCACTACTGGACAGATGAGGAAACCGAGGCCCAGAGAGTTTAAACTGCCTGTCAAGCCTACCTATCCTGCAGGAGACCATCTCCCCGCCAAGTTTTCTTTCTGGTGGCTGTGTGCCTTCTAGGCCCCTACCTCTTCTCTGTCACTGCTGTCCCGTGTCTGTGCCAGATGCATGGCAGGCTCTCCAAACTGGAAGATGGTCTGCCCACCATCCTGTGCCCAGTGCAGGGCTGCCCACCCCAGGGCTCCCACATGCATGTCAATCAAGCCCTGTGCTCACTGGCTTAGAGGCAGCTCTGGCCATGGACCAGGTGAGCAACAGCCATTGTTTATCTTGGGTGGAGGAGGGAGGTGTGGGGGGTGTCTCCTGTTTTCCTTGCTCTTCTCTTTCCTGCCCCTGGTCTTGTTGCAAAGCCTGCTGGGGTCATTCATCTCTTGCCCCTGGGGAGGGGACCCCTTCAGTGCCACTGTTCACCCCTGAAGTGTTCTTGTTGCTCGCTGGCTGGCTGTGGCCCCACCGGACAACACACGCAAGACATCTCTGAGATCATGTGCTCTGCCCCGGATCCGGGTGGCAATGTATTCAACATACAGGATGAGAAATTTTCAATCGCCAAGCCTGGTGATGGGGAAGTCCTTCCCTGATCTAACCAAAGGCTCTAACCACGTCTTCCTTTTGGAGCGTTTCCTAGATCTTCAGGGTGGTGGTGGGAATGTTCTCCTTCACCCTGACCTTGTGTGAAGGTCAAAGCCCCTTAGGGGCGGCCATGCTTGGCAGCTTCCCTCCCCCCTGTGCCTCTGTCTCCTTTTTTCTCTCCTCAGAAGCCGACTACCTTTCATTCCCATTAGCTTTGATCCTCTCTTTAGAAGCTTCTTGGCAGGAGATAAAATATTAGTTGATTGGAAAACACATGCACTCACAGTTGCAGGGTATCAAGTAGGTGGGTTGTAACCAAATTTACTTTTAATTTGGTTGGGAACTGAACTCGGCAGGAAGTGCTGGCTAATTTAAAGTTTTTTTTTGTTGTTTGTTTGTTTTTGGGTGCCAGCTATCAACCATGAAACAGCCTGGATCTTGACACCGAAGTCAGATCTCCACTGCCAACTCCATACTTGTAAAGTCAGGAGTGTGAACTCACACACATGCTCACCTGAGCACAGGTAAAACCTACCACACAACCTCCATATGTGCAGTACCTACAGATACGCAGACAAGGCACGTGTATGGTGTGGAAACCATTTCCATTGGTCCATGGTACGCCTCCAGGCACCCAAGTGTTAGCACAGACACACTCCTGTGATCACAGACACACACGATATGCCCACGTTGCATGCGTTTGTGCACATTGTGTGCATGCCCAAATGGTGCAAAGATGTACAGACATGCACAATGCACACACGATGCACAAATATATATGCGCACACACAATGAACATACCAGGCACACACACGAATACGTGCACTTACATGCACACATGAACACATGAGCACAAACACCCACGTCATGTACACAACCTGGTGTACCCTGCGTACTTGAAACCCACAACGTCCATTGTACATGCAGCTTCCTCCTTCCTCTACCTCCTTCCCTCTCAACCTCCTCTCTTCTCCGTCCCAGTGTATCTGACAGCTCACATTCTGGCTACTAAGAGGTCAGATTGCTGGGCACCAGTGCTCACGCCTGTCATCCTAACTACTGAGGAGGCGGAGATCTGAGGATCATGGTTCGAAGCCAGCCTGGGCAGGAAAGCCCAGGAGACTCTTTATCTCCAATGAAAACAAGCAGCAGCAACAACAACAAAAAAGCTGAAAATGGAGTTGTGGTTCAAGGGGTATTGTACTAGCCTTGAGCAAAAGTTCAGAGACAGGGCCCAGGCTCTGAGTAGAGTCATAGGACTGGCATTAAAACAACAACAACAAAAAAGAGCCAGACTTGCAATTCCCGATTGGAGACGGTGTTCAAGACAGCGTGTACTTACTGTTTCTTGTGTCTCTTCTCTTCCTTTCGTTTGCTTTTGGGGCTAGAGGAGCTAAAGAAGAAACAGCCCATTAATTCACAGGTAAAAGCATACCTAAAATGTAGTTAAAGACACAGACAAATAGTTAAAGTGCTTGGGCAGAGAGCAGGCCCCCTGCATCCAGAAGATGGACAGCCATCAATATCAATCATTACCCCTGAGCAGAGAACCCCCTGACAGCACGGCTCTGTGTGGGACACTGAGTCTCACCCAGGCCGAGGATGCGGGGGAAACTGAGGGACACGAGTTCAGCTTTGGTAGCTGAGTGAGAGCAGTGGTAATCTGACTTCAGTCGTAAAATCTGTACTTCTCAGACTTGATTCTAGGCTAGGTCCTGGGCAGAGTCCCTCCTGTCAGCAATCCCAATGCATGCATGACATAAGGGGGTGGAAACATGATTTGATGACAGCCCATTTCACAGATGGGGAAACTGCGCCTCGGTGGGCTAAGACCTTTGTCCAGGATCACACAGGTGAGCTCCAGACTCTGATCGCCTGAGTCCTGGCAAGAGGAAAAAGAAATTTTACCCCAACAGAGTCACACCTGGAGAGTCAGCTACAGGTGAAGGCTCGGCCCTAGAGCCAGCAGTTTCACCCGTGCGATGGAAAGGTGTGAACTCAAGGCTCAGCTCCGGGGGACATCAGGCAAACTCCCTGACCAATCGGAGACCAAATTTCCTCAACCGTGAGCCGGGACCATGACTCAGGTTGTGGCACTGACCGGATGGCACTCGCTGGCAAGCAAAGAAAGATATTGGCGCCTTCCACCCAGTTGTGGAGAGAGCGGGTACAAGGGCCTTGACTGCTCTCCACGTGGCTTTGGTGATGGAAGAAGCCACCGGCACCTGTCCTTGTCCGGATCTGGGTGTTTACGTAGCCCCTGGGGCCATCTAGCTCTCTGTGGGCTTTCTTGTCGCCTCTGCCTCGGTTTCCCCATCTGTGAAATGGGACCATTGTCATAGCCCCTGCTCAACCACGGTGAGGATTTGAAAAAAACAAAGCACAAAAACCCACACAGGGGCTAGACTGAGCGCAGGCCCCACACTGTGGTGAGCTCTTCTCTGTTAGGGGCCAGGCCCCCAAGTGCCAGTCTGCCCCCCCCCCGGGAATGGCTTCTGGAGAGCCATGGGGGTGATATTTCCCTATGTACTATGACAGATAGCAACAAGGGTTATAAGAAGGACTCCAGCACAGCTGGTAGGAGTCATGAGGGAGGCCTATCCGTGGGGCTGGTCCAGCCTTTCGGCTGTGAGTGAGGCCCAGGAGGGGGCAGAGATGGGAAGAAGAAAGAGCTGGGGGGGGGGATTCTTACCTGTGCCTTCTCTTCTTGGAGAATGATCTGATTTGCGGGGTGGGGTTGGGATGAGTGGGAGGGCATGGGAGGTGGAGGAAAGAGGATCGAGAAGGAGGAGGGGAAGAGACAAAGGAGAAAGGAAACAGGGGAGGGGAGGGGAAGGGAAAAGGGAGGGGAGAGAAGAAAGACAGGTGAGTGTCTTGCATCTGCAGTCAGGTCTCAGGGAGAGGATCGTCGGCCAGCCCTCCTCCCCCACAGTTCAACCAAGACGAAGGCTGCTGTGATTGCTGAATGTGGGTCTCCCAGCACCCCTGCCCTGGCCAGTCCTTTCCAGGGGAGGTTGAACAAGGAAGGCATAGGAGTCCCCTCTTCTTCCTTTCCCCATCTTCCTCCTCCTTCTCTTCCTCCTCTTCCTCCTCCTCTTCCTTCCTCCTCCTCTTTCTTCTCCTCCTCTTTCTCCTCCTCCTCTTCTTCCTTCTCTTTCCTCTCCCTCCTCTTCCTTCTCCTCTTCTTCCTTCTCCTCTTTCCTCTCCTCCTCTTCCTCCTCATCTTCTTCCTTCTTCCTTCCTCCTCCTCCACCACCTCCTCTTCCTCTTTCCTCTTTTTCATCCTCCTCCCCTTCCTCCTCCTTCTCTTCCTCCTCCTCTTCCTTCCTCCTCCTCTTCTTCCTCTTCCTCCTCCTCTTCCTTCCTCCTCCTCTTCTTCCTCCTCCTCTTTCCTACTTTTCCCCTTCCTCCTCCTTCCTCTTCTTCCTTCGCTTCATCCCCCTTTGTTTGCCTGGCCACCTCCCGTCAGCCAGCATCCTGTTTTTCCCGAAAGCCTTGCTTGACATCCCCACCCCCATCCCTACCCCACCACCAAGGCAATTCCCCCCACCCCCAGCGTGGCCCTCCTGCCTTGCGTGAGGTTCTGTGATGTGAGGTTCTGTGATGACTGTGTCGTGCACAGTCTCCTCCCGTCTGTCTAAACCCTGAGCCATGGCCGTGTTGTGAAGAGGAGGCACTCAGAGCAGCTCAGAGAAGCTGCGATCTCCAGAGCCGCCCCCCAGGCCTCTACTCTCGTTGTGGTACGCTGTAACCATTTTCTGAGCAGCTCCAGCTCATGCTCTCCACGCCCCCACCTCAGGACGAGCTTCAGAGCCGGTGTGCCATTAGTAAGAGTACGGATGTCGCCATACTACAATCCCCCCCCCCCCCAGTGCTCTCCACTGTCATAGAGAGAAGTCGAGGGCAGAGAAGTTGTTGTGGTTAACTGTTCTGTTTCTGGGATCCCGGAAGCTCATTTCACAACACATATCGGGTGTTCAAGAAATAGGTGTGGAAATGAGAATTGTTTTTTTTAAGTACTCTTAAGCTTTGTCAATTAAGAGATGACGACATATCTCCATGACTGCGCCTGCTCCCATTCAAAAAAAGAAAAGAAAAATCAGCCATCCCTAACCAAGGCTTTCATAATCTTAGAGAAACTGGGATGGCCCAGCCACCGAATTTTCCCTCTTCTCTCTCTTTTACAATTTTTTTTTTTGTCCTTCTCCTGTTTTTACCTCTGACCTGGCAGGGGGGTGGGAAAGAGAAGGCTGTTTCTAAACTTTGGTGCATCACAACCTCTTTCTTACAAGAAAATCAAACCTTGGGTGTGAAGTCACACGGTTTTCAGGGTACAGATGTGGCAAAGTCTCCCACACTGAGAGAATCTCTATCTGATCAGACGCGGGTGACAAGATGCAGCCGAGATTCTCGGGCAGGTCACCGCCTCTCCAACAGCCTCCCAAATTTCTCACCCCCAAAAGGAACAACATCTCCCTCATTTCCCGTGACTTAGACTCACTTCCTAATTTGTCTGTGTGTGATTTTAACCACGAGGATGGATAGCAACAGGAAGGCTGGGAAGTGAGGGCTACCGTCCGTGAGAACATTCTAGAAGCATACAACAACAATGACTATTTGGCAGGCACTCTGACGTGAGCTCAAAGAGGCAGAGGAAACCCAAAGGGACCCCTTACCTTTGACCCGTGGCGGTGTAATTGCACAAGTCATTTCCCAGTCGGTGTGGGAGAACAGCAAGCCACAGAGAAGCAGAAATGAAATCATGAACTAGGCTTTTCCTGGTGCCCACAGCAGCTGGCAAGTGTGGGCAAATGGGTACAGCCCGCTGGTGTGCCTTCTTCTCAATGCACAGAACGGATGGCTGCTTCCGAGACTATTCCCAGGAATATTTCCTTACAGAGAGGCTGCGGCAATGCAGAATCTCCCAATTATAAACCGGAAGCTTGGCCCATGGAGCACAAATTGGAGCCCTCTGGGGTATACCTTCCAATGTTTTGTTTTTCTTCCCCCTGCAACCAGGCACCTGCTGTGTGTGTGTGTGTGTGTGTGTGTGTGTGTGTGTGTGTGTGTGTACATGCACATGGGTGAGAATAGTGGAAATCTTCTGAAACAGGTTCTCAATGTCTTTTTTGACCCCCCCCAACTCTGCTCTCTATCCATCCACAAAGATGGATGACCATGGCCGCCATGTTTTGTTTTGTTTTGTTCAACACGCTCCATCACCTAAGACATAGCTCGGACCCACACATCAGAGCCTTCCTTGGAATTCTGGAGTAATGAACGAGACCCAGGAGTTCTGTGTCTGCTTATGACTTGGTCTGCAACATAGGAAGTCTTGTGTCCCAACAAGGAGCAGAGCCAATTCAGGGTCTTGCTTGGGTTCCATCAACGATCTCTACTGCTCAGCCCCCAGCCTGGCTGGCCCCTGACACCTTCCTATTTTCTTCTAACCAAGCCCTGCTCTGGTCATCTCAACTACTGTCTCAACTTATGCTAATAATAGTACATAAAATCAGGTCCTGGTAGCTCATGCCTATAATACCAGCTCTCAGGAGGCTGAGATCTGAAGATCACAATTCAAAGCTAACCCGGGCAAGAGAATCCATGAGACTCTTATCTCCAATGAACCACCCAAAAAGCCAGAAGTAGAGCTGTGGCTCAAGTGGTAGAGTGCCAGCCTTGAGCAAAAAATAAATCAATAAATAATAGAGCTAAGGCACAGTGCCCAGGCCTTGAGTTCAAGTGCTATTATTGGCACAGATCAACCAAACAGTACACAGAAAGAATCATTACATGGCACAAATGACAGGGGATGCTTTCCGGGTCCCCGAATTCCTACCCCATCTGGGATTTTCTCATTAGCAGCAGCAGAAGGGCAATACCTGCGTCGTTTATGTTTCTTGGAACTTTTCTTCTTCTTTTTCTTGACAGGCGAGGGGCTATAGGATGGAGACCTGTGGGGGGGAGGGGAGAGGCAGACTCAGAGGGAGGTATGTCCTCCTCTCCATCTCTGAGACATGGTCATTCACGAACACTCCAGAAGGATCATCTCAATACCTAGGCGGCTCATGGGTTTTTGTTTTTTTTTTAACGTGACTTTGTGAGAAACAGAACCATTCTGCCTAGCCCTAATTAGAAGGGGTGTCTCCATCTCAGATACATGGGTCTAGTGTGAGGAAAGAGGCTCAGGTGTTTTCCACAGCAACTTCCAGAAATTCCTATTTGTGTAAGAAAACTGTTGTTTGTTTTTCTTTTTCTTTCTCTTTAAGTTGGCCAATAGCTACAAAGGAGAAAAAAAAGAACCCCTACCATAATAGCAGAGATAAATGTCCGAGCAACAAGTATGCTTTGAAGGAGTTAACTTTTTCCCCCAAGTACATATATATTCCTATTGAAGAAACAATTGAATCTCAATGCTGGTACTTTCTTGCCATGACACCAAATGCCCATTCTTCCTACAATAGAGAAATTCAACGTTCCTCTATTCCTCCATTAGCATGGCTGGATCTCAGGGTCCCCACCTAATGCTCCCCGCTAGGTCCTGGTGGACCTAACTTGAAGGAGAGTCTTGGAAAGAAACACCTGGAGTTGAGCCCATGGTCCTGGCACTGCTCTCCGCTGCCCCCTGGAGGTTCCTATAAATACTGCCTTGGAGGCTCAGGCCTAATTCTCTTAGCCCTGAGTTTAAGGTCAGGGTGGGGTTTGGAAATACTTGATGTCTAGTTGGGAGCCATCTACAAGGCAATATGGGAGTCTTCTTAAATATGAAAAAAAAAAACCTTCTAATCATTTCTAGAGAAACACTTACAGCCCCAAAGAGCCTCTAGTCCAATAAATAACCTAAAAGACCATCCATTACCCTGACCTTTGAACTTTGGTAGACAGGAATCTCTGAGATGGGGAGCGATGGTAGATCACAGTCAGGAATTAAAGAGCCAGGTGACGCCTTGTGTCACCTTCTGACACCCTTTCATAGTCTTCCATATTCACAGTAATGAGTCAATGTGCAACATTGCTGGTAGCAATTCAATATTTAATATATATGATGATGACTCAATATTCATGGCCATGATGATGCTTATTGACAATCCCAGGAGCAGTGAGTAATTCTCCATCTATTTTCACCCCTAAGAGTCACGTAGCATTGCTATTTAACTATATATAATATATATAGATATGATTTTTATTGTTATTATCAATGTGTTGTACAGAGAAGGAGGTTGCCATTTTGTAAGTCAGGTAATGAGTATGTTTCTTTTTTCTTTCTTTTTTTTGGGGAGGGGTGGGCAATGTCGACCCTTCCTGCGCTTTCCCCCTCGCCCCCCCCATTTCCCCTTCCCATCCCTGCCCACAAGTTGCATAGTTCATTGTCTACATAGATCATTGCTATTTATTTTTTCCAGAGAAGGAAAAAGGCCCAGGAAGGTGGCGTCCAAGGTCACTGTGAGTGAAGAGGCAGAGAGAGGATTTGAACCCAAGAATGAGATCCATATTCCCTTAATTGTAATTCTGGCTCTTCTCCCAAAAAGGCATCATGCCCTTCCTTCCCTCCCCTGTGCCCCCCTCCCAATCCCCTCACCTCCTTCTCTTCTTCCGGATAGATTTCTTCTTTTTCTTCTTCCCTCGGGATGGAGGTGGTGGGGTCAAATCTCTGGTGTGTGAGACACTGTGAGGGGGAAACTAAGAGTCAGGACAACCAGCCTCCAAGGGGAGAACACGGCCTTTTGAAGATGAAAGGCCCATAGCAAATACCTAATTACCAACTCATGGTTGATCCGGTCCCAATTCAGATTAAGTGTCTCAAATAAGGACTTAATGTCGGCCTAATGAGACAGACGAGGCATGTTACCCAAACAGCAATTGATTATTTAAAACAGAGTTATCGAGGTTAACTGCTCCTTAATAGATTTATTATTGAATCTGAAAATGGCTCACCTCAGTAAATAAATCACTTTTTAAATAATTAATTGGCAGTCCAGCCCCTTCCCTTCCCTCCCTACCCCATCCTCGCCTCCACTTCCTCCTGGAAGTTTAATAGAAGGAGAGAGGTGTGTGAGGTAGCAGCTGATTATTAAGAGCGTATTTACTGAGTTCTAATGTAGGAAGATACATATCTTATATTGCCACCGACCTCAGGAATCTCTGCTCTTCAAGGATAATTATTTCCCATTCAATTAAATTCAAATGCTCAGGCTGCATTGAAATAAAGTCAAGTTATCTTCTTTTGTAATTGGGGAAGGCTTCAGAGACTTAAAAAACAAAACAAAACAAAAAACCCTATCCCACAGCAAAGAGATAGTTTGGTATGAATCACTGATTGAAAATTAAAACATGCCAACCAATTCAAACTTTAGTGGGAAATAGACAGTGTTAATAATAATATTGTTATTTGATAAATAATATCATTATTTGATAGCTACGTAACTAGCATTGCTGCTAGGGTTGCTACAGTGTTAATAATAATATGGTTATTTGATATATAATATTATTTGATAGCTACACAACTAGAATTGCTGCATTTATTATATACTAAGGGTTGCATATTTTTTTTGTCAGTCATTGGGCTTGAACTTGGGGTCTGGGTGTTGTCCCTGAGCTCTTTTGCTCAAGGCTAGTGCTCTACCACTTTGAGCCACAGCTCTACTTCTAGCTTTCTGGTGGTTAACTGGAGATAAGAGTCTCATGGATTTTCCTGCCCAGGTTGGCTTTGAACTGCAATCCTCAGATCTCAGCCTCCTGAGTAGTTAGGATTAGAGGCATGAGACACTGGTGACAGCTGGGTTTTATGTATTTTTGCACACACACACACACACACAACCATTTTGAACTGAGTGTTTAAAATCCAATCCTAGCTACTCAAGAGGCTGAACTCTAAGCATCATGATTCAAAGCCAGCCTGGTCAGGAAAGTCTGTGAGACTCTTATCTCCAATGAACCACCAAAAGACTGAAAGCAGAGCTATGGCTCAAGAAGTACAGCGATAGCCATGAGGGAAAAACAAACAATAACCGCTCCCCCTCAATGAGACAGCATCCTGAGTTCAAGTCCTAATATAGGCAAACACAAGCAACAACACCCAACATTTTGAGGGTAGCATAACTTTTTGGAGGCAGTGTTTGTACTCTAGAATTTGAACTCCATGCCTTGTACTTATTAGGCAGGGATTATACTGCTTGAGCCACACCCTCAGTGCTTTTTGCTTTAGGTCTTCTGTTTTTGCCTGGGCTCAGCCTGGACTGAAATCTTCCTACTAATGATCCCCATGGAGCTGGAATTACAGATATGCCCTACATGTCTAGCTTTTGTTGTTGAGATAGGGTCTTGCTCCCTCCCTCCCACCCCCTTACCCCTCACCCCAGGCTAGTGTCAAACTGAGATCGTTGATTCCCAAGGAGCTGAAATTACAGGCATGAGCTGCCACACCTGGCTTATTTTTTTCTTGTCTTATTTTACAGGTGAAGAAAAATGAGGTTCAGGAAGTTGAGTTGACTTGCCAATGACTGCACGATTAGGAATTTTCTAAGCTGAATTGGAACCTGCATACATCAGTATCAAAAAACAAATCAAGAAAACAAAACAGTAGCCGCCTCCTCAAACTTGTTTGTGTACCCAATCATCTGGAAATGACCCAGATCATTAGAGAGGACATTGCAAAGCACTGTTGTAGTTAATTCCATGTCAGAAGCTGGATTGTTAGGGATGAGTTGAAGAGCAATAAGTGATTAGAATATACATCAGGGTCTCCTCATCGCCAGTCAATAATCACTGCATAGCCACATCGACAATATTTTCCCCAGAGAGTCACTTTGAGCAGGTTAAAAATAAACATTAGTCAGGTGTGGTACTTCATCCCTGTAATCCCGGCTCTCTACTGAGACTAGGGCAGGAGAATCACGAGGTCCAGCCAGCCTGAGGCTGCCCTGTTTAGAGTCTCCAAAAACAAACACAGGGAGGGATGAAGTCCTTAATGGCTGGATTCACTTTACAAGTTATGAAGCACCGAGCCCAGCACCCCCCAGTGCAGGAATGCATGATCTGCTTGTATCCATGCAGGGGGGAGTCACTTCCAAGTTATTTTTTCTCCTAAGAGTGCTTGACACACACCTAGAGCCCAATGATCACTTGTCAAGTGACCCAGGGAGGGAGGCGTGGATACAGAATCGGAGCTGCTTGTTTAAGAATCACCTTGTTTCCCATAAACACCCAGCAGCACCACACCGGCTCCCCAGGCTCAGACCTCAGTACTCCCAAACATGGAGCATTCTCATGAGTTGATGATGATGATGATGAGGAGGAGGAGGAGGAGGAGGAGGAGGAGGAGGGAGGCAGGAATGTAAGCAGAGGACTATCAGAGAGAAATCTGGAAGGAGGAAGGCTGGGAGACTTAGTCCTGAAAGAGTGCTGAAGAGGACTGAATGACAAAGTGTATATTCTATGTATATATATAATTATATTCTACTAATATGTATGAATAGGACACATAATATTACTATTGATATGATTAATAAAATATCATCTAATTATTGCATAATTATATATTATATGCTATATAGAGATATTATTTCACATACTATATACTTTATATAACCAGATAGTGTATATTAAAGTATAATGATACACTATATACTATATCTATGACCTATAGTATCATAATTCCATCTACTAAGCACTGTCCATCACACACTGTTTAAAAAGTGGACAGGAAGGAGGAAGGAAGCATGGAAATACAAGTCAGGGGTAAGGTTGCTCAAAGTACCATATCTGTTAATATAGAATCACAACAAGGAAACCCCCTTGTGGATGCTAACTCAAGGGAAGAGAGAGAGAGACACAGAGAGAGAGAGAGACAGAGACAGAGAGACAGGGAGGAAGGGAAGGAGGGAGAGAGAGAGAAAGAGGGAGAGAGAGAGAGAGTGTATTGGAACATATTCGGGTGGGACAAAGATAGGTCGGCCTGTACCTGCACATTTAAGCTGCATATTTAAGAGTCAAAACTTAAAACTAGAAGTCGAGGCCTGGGCTGACTTTTTCAGTAACATCTGCAGCAGATGTGGTGAGCTCAGTAAAGATCGAAGGGTCTGGCACCCTTCCTCGGCCTCTCAGACCTCTGTAAGGCATCGCCCCGTCCCTTGCTGGCCGAGCCCCTGTTGCGTAGCCAAGGCTTTGGAGGTTGTGTCCAAATCGCTGACTGAGGGATTGGATGCAAAGATCGGAGCTGAAATGGCAGGGATGATGACCAATGGGCCAATATAGCCCGCCTCCTGTTGTTATAGAAACCGTCTCCTTGGGTCTCAGGCATGCCGACAGGTGTGCATGTCTGTGCCGTGTGTTTTGTATCGCAATGGAGGCAGCTGTGACAGATGCCACTGGGCCCCCAAGTCTTTATATGGACCATCGGGTCCACTCCAGAAGGCACTTACCGACCTCTGGTTGAAGGGTCTCAAGGAGGAGCTGGTAACAGAGAGAGGACATACCGGGTGGAAGGAGTCTGGAAGGTTGCTGCACCTGCAGCTTGGGGTGTGAGGGAAGGGCAGCACCTCACCTGTGTGCTCTGCTGGGACCCCGCTGGCTGCAGGCATTGTCTCTCTCCCAGCTGTTGGTGCCCAAGGTCCCGGTGGCCAGACCCTGGCCCAGCTTTTCTGATGATCCATCCTGGGCTGGAACTATGGGACTGCTCTGAGGTTCTGTCCTACAAAAGGAAAGAGACGATTCAAGGGTGTTTGCATTCATGAAACACTTCATCCAGTGCTCAGAACTCCTATGGTTTTCCAGCTTTTCTGGCAATTGGGTGGCGGCTGCTAGTTTATCTGTGGTATCTTGACTCTGAGCGTAATGACATGATACTTTCTGTTCTAGGGCTTCTCTATCTTTCTCTTGCATGGTCATACTAACTTTTGGGCTTCATATTCTAAAGGCAAAGTCTCCTGAGGGCAGAGATTGCCTGAACTAGTTCAGAATTTACAAGACAGAAATGAACTTGAACTAGCTGAAGCTACTCAGATTTCAGAGTTGTTTTGGTACCAGTCCTGAGGCTTGAACTCAGGACCTGGGCACTGTTCCTGAGCGTTTTTTGCTCAAGGCTAGCACTCTACCACTTGAGCCATGGCACCACTTCCTGCCTTTTCAGAGTAGTTTTACTGAAGATAAGAGTCTCATGGACTTTCCTGCCTGGGCTGGCTTCGAACCACAATCCTCAGGTCTCAGCCTCCTGAGTAGCTAGGATTCCAGGGTGAGCCGTGGGCACCTGGCAGGTTTCAGAGCAAATCCTACCCTGTCCTGACTAACACACAGACTGACACTGGAAGCCAGCTTCTCTCTTCCCATCTCAAGATCTCATTGGAGGACAAAGCACAGATCTACACTTCTCTTCCTTCTCTGTTCCCTCTTAACTGATGGTGGCAATTTGAATATGCTAAAGAGAGGCGCTAAAGTGCTTCCCCCCAGTGAAAAATAACAAATAAGATGCTTTGAAAGACAGAGAGACAGAAAAACACAGAGAGAGAGAATGAGAAAAGGGAAAATGTTTACACAACTTTTATTACAGGAGGTTGTCACAAATTGTTCACAAATTGTTCACAAATGGAATTTTCTCCTAGGCACATATATGTTACAGGAAAACAAAACATGGTCTGTGTGGTGCTAAACACGTGTTTCAGGCATGCCCTGAGGATCCTGGAGCCCTAGTGGAGATGGAGATGGAGTTTAGCCTCTGTAGAATCTGGGACCAGCCAGGTCCTACAGAGTTACAGTTACTCAGAGACTGAGTTACAGCTTACCGGGTAATAAAACAGGGGACTCCCATGAGTCCATGGGTGGTTGAGTTGTGAAGGGCAAAGAGAGCTGATCAATGCAAGCAAAAAGATCATGGAAGTGGAATTTTTGTCATCACTGTTTTTTTTTTGTTTCCTTTTACTTCCTGGTAAATCAATGAACCACTTGTGGCAGTTGCTGACAATTCTGAGATTACCCCCCCCCACACACACACACTCCCTCTACCACCAACATAGATCTTCAGTAATACAGGGGCATCATCAGTGGGTATCATCTCTTGATGTGAGGCCCAGGCATTGCCTGGTCACTCAGCCTTTGGAGAGCCTGTCACTCAAAGACCTGGCTCTGAACCAAGTGGAGTCAGGAGTATTTTTTAGGGGAGGGTCAGGGTGGGGTCACAGGTATACTGTGTGTCTTGAGAACTCTGCTCCCCCACCCACTCACCCTGCTCTCAGAACCCCACGATGAGCATCAGTCAGACACTTAGGCTATCCAGACACAGATCTTATTTCTCTCCTCTTGATGATTGTGTGAATGTAGTGACTCATTTGTAATGACCAGAGTGGTATAGAGTGACTATTTGGGACTACAACTGGCTGTTACACAGCTCTTACAGCTCTTGAGCTCTTTGTTCTCTTGAATGGTGGGGAAGTTGGCCGCCATGTTGGAAGGAAGCTCAAGCAGCCCCGTGGAGAGGCCTTAGTGAGGAGACAAAGCCTCCCACCAACAACCAGCACCAACACTTCAGCTAGGCAAGCGAGACATCTTGGACGTGGGTCCTCCAACACCAACCAAGCTTTTCAAGGAGACTATAGCCATGGTTGACATGTGACCATGATCTCATGAAAGGTAGAAAGCAGAATTACCCAGCCAGGTCCCAACTCTTAGAAACTGTGAGACATATCTGGATTATTGCTTTGGGGGTCACAAAGACTTGGGAGGAGGTGTTAATTCACTGCACAGTTGTGCATGACTTTGTCATAGGTGTCTGCAGAAAAGTATATTCCAGGCAGAAGTACAAGAAGAACAAGTACAAGACTCTGGGCACACATGAATACTTGTTCTTAGCAATGGACAGACTTTTTTTAAAATCTGAAGAGAACATTGAGAAGTTGGAAAGCACTTCACAATGTTTTGGACAAATCTTGTTGCTTTATAGTTGATGGGAATAGAAATCCAAAGAGGATGAATCACCCAACCAGTGCTTTAATCTTCTGGATTGTTCAATCCCCTCTCTATTCTGCTTCATACTTGTTTTGTAACAAATAGGAACACATAGGAATTTTGGACTTTGGGACATTACAGAAAACCAAGGTGTGAGTCCAACTGTGTGCAAGTGGCTCCTGCCTGTTACCCTAGCTACTCGAGAAGCTGAGATCTAAGAATCATGGTTCGAAGCCAGCCTGGGCAGAAAAGCCCCTGTGAGATTCTTATCTCCAATTAACCACTCAAAAACCAGAAGTGGCAACATGGCTCAAGCAATAGAGCACTAGCCTTGAGCACAAAAAGGCTCAGGGACAGCACCCAGGATCAAGTCCCACAACAGAAAAAAAATAGTTGAAAGTGGATGTGTGGCTCAAGCATCAGCCTTGAGCAGGAGTACAAGGCCCTGAGTTCAAGGCCCCATATTGATATACACAGAGACACCCAACCCCCACAACACACACACGAATCTGTACCAGAAATAATCCTACTAGAGGTGGAAGCAGACAGGTATGACGGATTTTGCCATGGATATAGGCATGGTGCTGGGTGGTAGAGCTCAGAGTTGTGTCTGATAAAGTAGTCTGTCTGAAATAGAGGGGAGGCTGGCAGATGTTTCTGCCTTCCAGGGCACCGAAGCAGAAGCATCAGAGTAGAGACAGCATGCTCCCCTGTGCACTTACGGGAGGAACAAAATACATGGAATTGAGCCAGGCATGGGGGGCTCACACCTGTCATCCTAGGTACTCAGGAGGCTGAGATCTGAGGATTGTGGTTCAAAGCCAGCCTGGGCAGGAAAGTTCATGAGATTCATATATCCAATGAACCACCATGAAGCTGAAAGTGGAGCTGTGACTCAAGTGGTAGAGTGCTAGCCTTGAGCAAAAAAAAAAAGCTTGGGGACAGTGCCAAGGCTGTGAGTTCAAGCCCCAGGGCTAGCAACAACCATAACAAAAAAGACCCATGGAATGGATGAATTGGTGTAACATTACACTCTTGATTCTTGCTCGGATCTCACCTTCCTGGGTCTTACTTTAGTGAGATTTTGCAATGAAGCTAACAGAAATAGGATACTTTTACAGGAAGTAAGGGGGGGGGAGAAGAAAGGTATCCTTCATAGCATAACTTTGAGGATCTTTTTTTCTTAAGATGGTCAACACTAAGAAAGATTCAGAAAGCAAGTCAACAAGGTTTTCCAAGCAGGGCACAGTTTCCAGAGCACCCCAAAAATTTTAAATAAAGATCCCTAGGCCCCATCCTAGCTAGAATGAATACGTCTTAAAGGGGCGAACCCAGGATTCTGTGTCTTTAAGAAACCTCGTAGATAATTCAGTTTCCTGTCAGGCCAAGAGTAAAATCCATCAGCCACGCCAACCTCCTCTCTCACCCCGCTCTCTACCCCTCCCACTGCTCTACCCACAGGGCCTCCTTGCTGCTTCTCAAATAGGTCACAAGCTTTTCTGCCCAGGGCCTTTGCTCTTGCTGTTTCTGACACCTGGCCTACAGTTCTTCTGGTAATTTGCATGGAAACTCCTCCTCATTCAAATATCACTTTCTCAGAGAATGCTCCCTGACCCCCTAATTTCACCTTGCTCCCCTTAACCTTACCAGGCTAGGAACCACGGGGCTCATCATAACCCCCTCTCCCTGCCCTTCCCCCTCCCTTTTCCCCTCCCCCTTTCCCTCCCTCTCTTTCTTCCCTTCTTCCTTCCTTCTTCCTTCGTTCCTTCACTCCTTTGTTGTGACAGAGCCTCTCTAAATAGCTCAGGCTGGCCTTTAACTATCAAACCTCATGCTTGCCCCTGTGCCCAGCTTTTCTGATTTCTCCTCATAGCTCTGTTACTATTCTATGTTTATTGGCTAGTCAGTTATCTTCTGGACATAAGCTTCATGAGACAGGCACCTTCTCTTACCACTGGATCTCCAAAGATACAGTGCCTGGATATGGGGGTCCTTTTGTACTCAGGGGAGGCTGAATGGATGGGTGGAAGGATGAAAGGAAGGAAGGAAAGATGGATGGATGGACGGACAAATGAATTCTGAGGGCTGATCTCACTCGAGAACTGTGGCTCAGGCTCCACTTGTGTGTCTTCAAAGAAAACATCAGAGAGGTCCAGGGAGAAAGCCATGCCAAATCCTGCAGCTCTTCAAAGCTGAGTCCGCCCTCGGCCCCCACCCCTGCCCATCCTCCTCCCCTCCTCCTCCTCCGGCTTCACAGCCTTGTGGTTCTTAAGGGAAAGTTCCAGCTACCTTGTTTTCACCACACAGCTCTACCAGGTAGCCTTACAAAATAAAATAAAAAGTACTTCAAGTGAGATCTTGGGGAGACAGCCGCGTGGAGGCCTGGCCTCTGCCCTTCCCCGAGGGAGGAGCATCGGTGCCCCATTCCTCAAGCCTCACCCCCTCCCCACCCTGAGCTCCTGCCAATCAAGGGCTGTCGGCGTAGTCATGGCAACCAGCAGATGCTGAGCTTGGGATACAGGGCCAGGGCTGAACTTTCCACCAAACCCTCTCAGAGGCCTGGCCTCCAGCCACCTTCTGGCAGAGCCTCCCGGCCCGAGACCTGTCCCGAGCTAATACCATTTGAGAATCAGAGGTAGACAACAGGTGAACAAGCAGACTCCCATATTCAGCTGGCACATGCACAGAAAAGGGAAACTGAGGCCTCAAGAGGCAGTAGTGACTTGTCAGTCAGTCCCCCACCTTAGGCTAGAG